GGCGGTTGTGTGGCTCAGCCAAAAACAACCATTGAACCTTCAGGAGAACTGAAATGTGACAACGCTGGAGCATCATCTGGGAGTGTTTGCTCCTTCCATCCTTCCTCTATAACCAATAGGAAAAAAAATATCTGAATTTAAACTTGAGCGGGGAGGGAAACCCCCCATGTGGGGGGGTGCCGGGGGGGGGGGGGGGCAGTGTCACAGCCCCACAAGCTTTGAAGAAATGGGGTTTCCTCAAAAGTTGGAAAAGCTGCTCCTGAAACCCTGGTGGAGACTTTGACGGTGCCTCGAAACGGCCACGGATTCAAAGCTGAACCCCCCCCGGGTGCTCCACCTCCACCCCCCACCCATCAGTATTTATTTTTTTGTAAAATTCATTGTGTCTGAAGCTTTGAGTCCAGTTCAAATACCGTCCTTTGAAACAAAGGCATTTTACATTTACAGATAATGTATTTTTATTCTCATAGTTTGTTTTTCAATTTACTTGCAGCTGTCAAGTTCAATAAAATGTGACATCAATCTCTGTCGTCTCCGAGGGGAGGATCGGGGCTGTTTTTACTGTGATGTTTCTCGTTCTAGGCCTGTGGTGTGTATAAACTGGAGAGTTTCTGCCTCTGGGTGAGTAAGGAGGGGAAGGGGAGCCAGTGCTAGTTTGTTTTTCAATTTACTTGCAGCTGTCAAGTTCAATAAAATGTGACATCAATCTCTGTCGTCTCCGAGGGGAGGATCAGGGCCGTTTTTACTGTGATGTTTCTTGTTCTAGGCCTGTGGTGTGTATAAACTGGAGAGTTTCTGCCTCTGGGTGAGTAAGAAGGGGAATTTTGGGGCAGGTGGGGGTCTCCCCCCACCCTGGGAATACTCAACAAACAGCCCTTGGTGTCACCACAACCCTGGGCTGGGTTATTTCAGGCCAATATAAATCCCACACCTGCAAACTGGAGCTTGGAGGAGCATTGTCCAGCCCTTGAGGTGAAGTGTTTGGGGTTAAATCAGTTTAGTGGTGAGACCCCAGGGGCCATAACCCACCTCCGAGGTGGTGAAGATCCAGCAACTGGCAGGAGTTCGACTAAACCAAGGAGAAATAAAGCACAAATGTAATAGGAGAGACAATCCTCGGGGTGAGCCTTAAGGCCCTGTGCTCTCCGGGGAAGGAAAGGTTAATTGTAAACTTTTGGGCTCAAAGGCAGAACCACCAGCGAGTGGCAGCCACAAAGAGAGCTCGTTAAGGACTGATGACTCCCTGTGTGTAATAATGGGAGTTGGTCACATCCCACCTCACGCAGTGCATGTACATTTATTTCAGTTCCACTCTGAGAAGCTTCATGTTTGTTCCTTCGTTTGAGACCCAATTATAACCATTATAAGGTCATTTTCCACAGCCTGGGGCAGGAGCTTGGTGGGGAAGGGGCTCACCTGGCAAAGAAGCAGTGGCACAGGGTGGCTCCAGCCCAATTTATTGTGTGGGGGAGGAAGGATGCACGTGGGGGCGTCGCTACGTCTCACAGTCCTCAGGAATGGTGGTGGTGATAATTAGTGATTGCTCCATCACGTCCGCCGGGGAGAAGTTCTGGTTGGAGCAGAGTCTCTGCACGGGGATCTCCTCGGGCAGGGCCCCGCGGGACAAGGACTCCACGATGACCTCGGCCGAGCCCACCTCCAGCTGGGGGGGCGGCTGCAGGGCCCCCACCACCGCCTTCTCGTCCTCGATCACCAGGTTCCGCAGCTTCCGCTGCCGCGGGTTGTAGTTCTCCACCCGGTCGTGGATCTCCATGTGTCTCCGCAGGTGAGCCTGCCAAGGGAAGGGACTGGTGACGGTCTGGAGCCACGATGGCTTGGGGGGGTCCCCAGTGCTTTTGGGGGTGCTCACCTGCCGCGTGAACTTGTAGCCACACTCGGTGCACTCGAATTTCCTCACTCCCTTGTGCCGGCGGACGTGGACCCGCAGCTGCTCCACGGCTGAGGAAGGAAGGGGGAAGCCTTTTGGTGGTGGCACCAGCGTGGTGCCATCGTGGCAGCCACGGTGACACGTCCCCAACCCCCCCTGCAGCGCTACAGGCTGGGGGAAGTGTGGCTGGAGCTGCCTGGAGGAAAGAGACCTGGGGGTTCGAGTTGACAAACGGCTGAATATGAGCCGGCGTGTGCCCAGGGGGGCAAGAAAGCCAATGGCATCCTGGCTTGTATCAAAAATAGTGTGACCAGCAGAAGCAGGGAGGTGATTGTGCCCCTGGACTCAGCACTGGGGAGGCCACACCTCGAGTGTTGTGTCCAGTTTTGGGCACCTCAATCCAAGAGAGATCTGGAGGTGCTGGAGCGAGTGCAGAGGAGGGCAACGAAGCTGGTGAGGGGGCTGGAAAACAAATCGTGTGAGGAGCGGCTGAGGGAGTTGGGGCTGTTTAGTGTGAGGAAGAGGAGGCTGAGGGGAGACCTCATCACTCTCTACAACTTCGTGAAAGGACACTGTAGAGAGGTTGGTGCTGGTCTCTTCTCACAGGTAATTAGTGACAGAACGAGAGGGAATGGCTTCAAGCTCCAACAGGGGAGGTTTAGATTGAACATTAGGAAGGAATTTTTCACAGAAAGAGTGGTCGGGCATTGGAACAGGCTGCCCAGGGAGGGGGTGGAGTCCCCATCCCTGGCTGTGTTTAAGGGCCGTTTAGATGCAGTGCTGAGGGACATGGTGTAGGGGAGGACTTTGTAGAGTAGGGGAGATGGTTGGACTCGATGATCCCGAGGGTCTCTTCCAACCTAGACCATTCTATGACTCTAAGGAGGCTCCAGCCCGGCCGTTCCAACCTGAACGATTCTATGATTCTCTGACTCTAAGGAGGCTCCAGCCCAAACATTACCTTTGAAGGTTTTGCCACAGATCTGGCAGAAGTGGGGCCGTCCCTCCTGGTGCCGACTGGCCACGTGCCTCAGCAGCGGCCCCTTCTCGGTGAAGCGCTGCTCGCAGAACTCACAGCTGAAGGGGCGCTCCCCGGTGTGGGTCCGGTTGTGCTTGTCCAGGCTCGCTGCCAGACGTGGGGGGGGAAAAATTGGGGGTCACAGTGGGGCACACACCCCCCATTTGGGGACAGGTAGGAGCCACGACAGTGAAGACCGCACACTCGCGGTGCAGGTTGGGTTGGGAAGGGTTAGAAGCAGCAGGGTTAGAAGTCCGGGCTAAGCATTTTGGGGGAAAACTCTTCAATTTCTTCCTCTTTTGTGCCGTGAGGGTAACGGAGAGAAGAGGAAGGTGCCTTCCTCAGTGTTAGGCAGGGACTCACAGGAGCGTGGTGTTGCTCCCGGGGGAATGGGGCAGGAGGAGGTGGGTTTTACTCTCTGGGGGGGCAGGAAGAGGTGGGTTTTACACTCTGGGGGTCCCCGGATCGCGGTGCCCGGCCCCCCCAGCCCCAGTCCCATGCCCCGGGGGTACCTTGTGTGCGGAAGGTCTTGCCACAGAGGTGGCACTGGAAGGGCTTCTCGCCCGTGTGCGTGCGCAGGTGCATGTTGAGGTTGGCTTTCTGGGTGAAGGCGTGGTGGCAGAACTCACAAACGTAGGGACGCTCGTTCCTGCAGGCAGGGGAGACCATCTCTTCATCTCTGCCCCCCCAGCAGCTGCTGCCCCTTGCCCAAAGCCCTTGTAATTAAACCCTACCCCAACCTAGAGCATTTTGGAGGCCCACAAAAGCTTTTCTGCTCCCACCCCGATGCCTCCCACCCCTTGGGTGTTACAACCAGCCCAGCAAACAGAACAGGGAGGCTGAGTGTGGGGGGCTGGCACGCATTTTCCACTTCAAGAACAGGGATTAGCCAGGCTGGGGAGCCTCAGCCATCACCTGTAGGGCTATGGTCACACACTGGGAGGAGCATTGGTGGTCTGCACTCCCTTTGGGAGGGAGAAGCAGAATGCCATTAGCCCCTCACCACATTTCTGGCAGAATTTTGAGCCCAGCACCTCGGGCGAGCGGGTGCTTGCTGCCCTCCAGCCACCTCCTCTCCCCAACACCTCGGTGGAGGAAGCACAGGCCACAGGTCACCTCCTACCTGTGCTTGGCCTTGATGTGCATCTGCAGGCCGTTCCGACTGGAGGCCCTGTGCCCACACTCCTCACACACAAACAGCTTCTCTCCCCGGTGCTTGAAGGCCTCGTGCAGGCGCAGCTCTGTCCGAGACAGAAAGCACTTGGAGCAGGTCGAGCACTGCAAGGCCACAGGAGAGCGTGGGGTTAGGCAGCTCGCCCGGCCACCCCCACAGCATCCACCCTCCCTCCACTGCTGCTCTGGGGTCCCCCAAAAAGCACCCCCATCTTC